AGGGTATACAGATGAATGTCCATTTTGTATCTGTGTATTCAAAGTGGTTAGGATAGATATATAGTTCCATTCTCTTAATGCATAGAATGATTTGTTCTAATGGTGTTTGTAAATACGATCTCAAGTCCACATGTTGTATAGCAATTAACCACTAAAAGAATGTATGCAGTGTGTTAATTATTGAAACTGTCCTAGTGATTTGATTTGAAACTGTCTCATTGTTATTTGTTTATCAATAAAATTATGAGAAAAAATTTTAAAAAATGTACAACCCCAAGTACAAACAGAAGGAAATAACCTCAACATAACCAAGTTCACATATATGAAGAGTCTATAGCTAACATAATGTTCACTGATGTGAAATAGAAAACAATGATTTTAATTATTAAAAAAGGCAGAGAAGCTCACTCTTACCCATTCTGTGTCAACCTAGTAATGCATGACCTAGTCAGTGCAATTATGCAAGAAAAAGAAACAAAACTAGATAGGGAAAAAACCCTATTTGCAGAAGCACAATTTTTTATGTAGAAAACCCCAAAGGTCTCAGAGAGAAAGAAACTATTAGAACTAATAAATTCAGCAAAATGGCAGACACACAAAAATCAACACATGAAAATTACATTTCTATGTAGCAATAAAGAACAAGCCATAAAGAAAACTAGGGAAACAACTTCTACAACATCAAGAACAACTTCAACATTAAGAAGAATAAAATACTCAGGGATAAATATAACCAAGGAGACGAGAGATGTGTATATTTAAAACAACAGAACACTGCTGAAAGAAATCAGAGACATGGCTCCACCCAGAGTTGTAAGAATTCTGCTGAGCTGTGGCTGCTTCTCCCAGGTCATAGAAGACAGGCAGACAGAGAATGCCTAGGGGAACCTGGTGAGCCCTGCCCCGGTCCCTCCCCCCACCATCACCCAAGCTCTGCTGAGCTGTGGCTAGGCTGTAGCCACCTCTTATGCCAGTAGCAGAAGAAATGGTGAACCTTACACTTCCCTCTCACTGTTGTGGGAGCCTTGCTCATCCACCCTCACCTCCTATTACCATCA